CGCAGAAAACACAGGCATTGAAATTCATATGCCTGTAAGAAAACTTGCAGATCATTTTCAGCTGCTCCTAAATGACTCACAATGCTGAAGCATATCAAGGCATAGAAACTACGCATCATCACAGGATGAAAAAAATTCTGGATCAATGTATAAATTCCTCTTGTCCCAAATAATTCTCCCAGGACCAGGGATACCCTTAATCAGTAACAGTAAAACTTCCTGGCCAGTTATTTTTTTTTCTTGCAATAGACATTACACCTTCAATACCACTCTTATTTATAAAGAAAAAAACCTATAAATATGCAGCAAGTTCAAGAAAATTCTGAAATAACCCTTAAAATCTGAGAAGTACAAAGCAAATGCATTTCTCACAAGATATTAGAAAATCTCATTTACTGTTTTGAATCTTTAGCACACCAAAAAAAGCAGTACAAGACGACAGTACAGCTACCAATTACCCACATTAAAAATGTTAGTCAACTAACTCTTTTCTTTCACTTGTGTTGGGATTATGTGTTTATATCAGAGCTTGACATAGTTGAATGGGCTGGAGCAGGAGGAAAGAGATAACAGTTCACACTTTATGTTTCCTCACTTTCCTCATTCCCCTACAAGATATTTTTTAGAAATATCTAATCAAGCATAAAGACAGTAATGTCCTAGAGTAGAAAGATATATTGTTTAACATGTTGTTTAACACTATTATCTGATAAGATAGCTTATCAGAGAAACAGCAGCCACATCTGTATCACAACAAAGGAAAAAATATGAAATTACTCTGAGTCAGAAAGTTCTGGCTATATCAACACTCCTATAACAAGGTATGTAGTGCAACAGAAGAAAACGAACATGGCAAATATTCACCTGCCATTTAAAAGTTTCCTGTAAAGAAAAAACTCCAAAAACTAATTAGATAAGCAGCTGAGATTATACTAATTCCATCTTCTCCTACAGATAATAATTATTTGTCAGGACTGTTACAATAAAACAACTTCATGATACTGTTACTAAGTCAGCATTCTACAATTATGAGGAACCATGACCTTCTGTCCACTATATGCTACAAGAAGTAGAATTCAGTACTAAGCAACACCAAATGAGGTCCTCAAACAACAGATAATTACACTTTTAAGAAGTCACCCCCTGCGGGTGAGTGAAAATCTTCAAATACTTCAACAACTGTTTGTTAGTTTGGGGGTAGGTTATTTGTTTACTTGGCTGATGGGGCTCTGTGTGCTTCGTTGTTTGTTTTGCTTTTGTTCTTATTTTGAATCAAAGCCAGGCTTCATTTTGACCTACATATTTACTGATGGCCAGGTGTATAAATACAACAGATTTTTTGCAACTTATTTTCCTACTGTAATTGCATACTCTTAAACAGCATATTTTAAGCTTTTAAGCTTAATTTTTTTTTTAAATGCATCATATTGCTACTGCTTTCTGTTGAAAGACAATCCAAAATATTTTTGAACAGTCTTCAATTACGCACATTTACACCACAGCCACCAAGCAGTAATTCAAATTAAGGACTAATGCAAATAATACCATTTCAGATTTCAACCTACTATTGAAAAAACTTGTGAAAAAGGACCCTGCTAGTTCCTTGGATGAAAAGCTATAGAATCATAGAACAGATTGGGTTGGAAGGGACCTCAAGGATCATCAAAGCTCCAACCCCACCACAGACAGGACCCACCAATCTCCACACTTAATACTAGACCAGGATGCTCAGGGCCCCACCCAACCTGGCCTTGAACACCTCCATGGATGGGACATCCACAAACTCTCTGGGCAGCCTGTTCCAGCACTTCACCACTCTCTTGGTAAAGAACTTAGCACCCAATACATTTAAAATAGGATACTAGAGCCTCAGCAATAAGAAAAATGTGAGTGCTGCGCAAGTTTGTTCCCAATCCTACTTTTACATATCCGGCCCACAGCAGGGTCACATCAAACAGTGACTGATACAGCAGTTCTTTGAAGCAATCTGTATCAAATGCAAAGTTAAGGAAGTCTCATTCATTGCACTTTTACAAGTACATTGCCATAACTTGAACAAAACAATGACAAGTCATATTAAAAATTAATTATTGATTCCCCTGAGTTGTTAAGATTAATTTTTTATGATCAATTACTTTCAAATAAGTTAGCTGGAATGCAGAGTTATAAAATAAAATAACATTATAAATCACATGATGTTGCTTTGTTTAGATTGCTGTAGGAAATTTTGCTACCACCTTTGCAACACAAATGAGTAACCAGTCTTGAAGGAACATGCAAGTGGGTACTGCCATCTGATGCATTTATTTTTTTTTACGAACGGCAAAAAGAAAACTTAGGACAGAAACAACCACAGCTGCCACAGAAAAAAGGCATTAACTCAACATGCATGGAATACACAATTCCACTGGCAGAAAGAAGAGTACTAATTTGTGTACAGCTCCATAAACTTAGATGACCCTAGGTAATAAAGGATTACTCAACTAACCATAAAATAGAGCTTACAATACTAATTACTACATTTCTAAACCATGCTTGAATCATGAAGGAGTTAAAAATTGAATGTTAACAGCTTAGGGATAAGTTGTTCCTATACTGCATCATAACAGAACAAGAAGAAACCTAGAGGTTTTAACCAACACTAGTTTTTAAGGGAATTGGTATAATTTGGATTTCCTATGTTCTAAGATAGGGCCCTGGGCAGCCTGATCTGGTGGGGAACAACCCTGACCAATACAGGGAGTTGAAACTAGATGATATTTATAAGGTCCCTTCCAACCCAAGTCATGCTATGAATTGTATGAATTTGCTTCAGGTATGTCTTAAGTACATCTTCAAAAAGGAAATCTCACTTCTAGACACAGAATCATAGAATTGCTTGGGTTGGAAGGGACCCCAAGGAACATCAAGTTCCAACTACCCTGCCACATGCAAGGTCACCATGCTCCAGATCTGGTACAAGACTAGGCTGCTCAGGGCCCCATCCAACCTGATCTTGAACACCTCCAAGAAGAGAGCATTCACAATCTCTCCAGGCAGACTGTTCCAGCACCTCACCACTCTCTCTGTGAAGAATTTCCCCCTGACATCCAAGATATGCAGTTCTAAACTCAATTTTTGTAATTTGCCTGAAAAAGAAGTTGTTCGCTGTTGTAGAAAAATCAACGTCCGTTGTGCAAGTACCGTGACAAGTATGTTTGCTTTCACTAGAACTGGAAAAAGCAGCTGTATTAATAGAGAAATGTGAAGTTCAGTACTTGAGTCATACAGATACTGTATGCATCACTGAAAATATTAAAGAGCAATATTCCTTTATTACATAAAATACACAATCGCAGTCATGTAAGATAGAGACCTATTAAATGCTGAGTTTAGTATACTGATATTTAAATTTAACATACACAGAAACATTACTAAATCCATACTCACTCTTTCCCCCCCACTACACATCATGGATTTTACCTACTGTAGAGGGATACAAACCACAAACAAAACAGTTGCTAGGACACATCTGAATTATGACTTCTTTGATATGTTCTTTCACAAAAGTATCTGCTATACTTTTGAAGCCAGCAAGGTCTTCATGAAATGTCTTAAACCATCAGAAATTAAGGCACTTCTGACACATGAATGCTACAGAGAAACATTTAGCCTTGCCTTTCTGAAACATTACTAAAAGCATAAAGTTGTACTAAAACCTGAAAACATCAAAATTTTTCCCTTATGTAGAATATTAGATGAGATCATGGGCCTGTGCCATGTTGATGATGGGAGACTGAAGTAGCAATACTGATTTGGACACCAGTGTTTTTTAAAAATTATTAAAGAGGAGTGCTCTGAAATTAATGCCTCCTACTTTATTATATTGGCCCATGGTGGATGCTGGCATCCACGGTGAGGTGGTTGCTGGCAGTATGGCAGAAGAGGTTGAACCTAACCTAACAGAGGTAAGGAGATAGTTGAGGTGAAATTCTTATGCAGTCAGAACGATGGCAGCTTCAAACAAGAACAAACTCAGGACTTTATAACCCACAAGTCTCCTAATTAGCATAAACCATAGACTTAAGGGTATTTTTACACAGGAAGTGGTGTGATGGATGAACAGAGAGCAAAATCCCAGTGATGCAAATTCATACTTCTGAATATCAACTAACTAGGTAAAGTAATTCCAGATCCCTGAAGTAGTTCTAAACATGTGATAAATCATTTAGTGTTACAGTAGCAAGTCCGGAAAAAAAATATAGCAAAAGTAAATATCGAGACTAATGATAAATGGAACAGTTTTTAGTGGTGGGAGAGTTAACCTGACAAGCAAGTACTGTAAAACAGTTTAAAGTGAAAGTCTTTTTTCCTTTTCTGATCTTCTGAAATGCTGACCTCCAAAATTACAGTTTTCTCTACAGATTTATCACAGGTACACTTTTAATCACAGAAACAAACTACATATATTTTTAATTGCACTATCAGAATTGCCCAAAATATAATTCTGATGTTGTATAAGTCATCATTATATCACTCATATTTCAGAAACCTACAAAAGACAAGCTGAATCAAGCAGAAAATCTACTCTTTGCAATAAGCTTGTTAAAAGTTTATTAAAACAGAATTTTATTTTAATTTGGTAAATAACGTTAACTTCATCTAAAATTTCATGTTTCTTTCTTTAATGATACAGAAACAAGAAGTTGTCTAAACTGGAAGACTACAGTTAGGGATAATGCACTCAATTCCATTTTTGTTCACTTTGAGAAGTAAAACAGAAGTCATCTTACGCATGCCAATGTCAGCATTGTGGTTAAACATGTAACTTGTTTTTATTAACACAGGTTCAAGAAAGTTAATCTTTTCATTAAGAATTAATTATATCAAGTATATACACCTCAGTGAAAAAGCACCACGTTCTGATTCAACGCTCACACTGAGAAATTTCAGTTGTATGAAATAACAAGGCCACCAAGAACCAAAAAAACAGGAGAGCTACTATAATGCTGGTTTCTTACCCTACGCATGGCTTCCTCCTCTTCTTGACGCTTTTCATAATGTGCAAAGTCATCAAAGATTGAGGTGGTATGCTTGAAAGTAGCAATTATTTTAAGCACTTGCTTGGCTTTTTCTAGGGGTACTTCTTGAGTGTCCCTCGAATTGGTAACTGGTTTGTTGTCATTGTTTTCCAAGCGAATATGCCGCAGTTGGTTATTGGGAACGTCTTTGACAAAGATCCATTTGACATCAAACTTGCCCTTCCACTTATCCTGAGACCAGACGCCAGCATATGCATTGTAGTCCACAACAGACTTCATCTCAGCCACTCCACAAAAGTGTCCACTGCCATTCACACTGAAGAGTAAATAGAGCGGGCCTTTTCCATTCAAGGAACGGTAAGCAGCATCCAAGCGCTTATTACCATGTTCAGTACTACACCAGATAGAGTACTTAATGGAGCGATGAATATCGTCCTCTGAATAACTTTTGATTATAAACACACGTCCATTCTTCAGGTTCCAATCGAAGTCTTTGGGATTGTAGTTGTTTATGGCCTTTAGTTTCTCCAGCACTGGGTGCACTTCCACACCAGAAGGTGAGGAGCTGACGGATACAACACCTAAACCAAAGTTTTCACTGCCAGCTCCGTTGTTCTGGCTGAAGCCCACACCCCTGTTACGAGGCGCTACCCAGCGGTTTTGCAACTGCTGCTGCTGCAACTGGTGAGGCTGGGCCTGCTGCTGAGGTCCTTGTTGCTGTTGTGGTTGCTGTGGCTGAGGCTGCTGTTGAGGCAGTTGGCTTTGCACCAGTGTTGGTGGTTGAATTAATGGCTGAGGCTGCTGGATTATGGTCTGAGGAGGCAGTACTGGTTGGGCTGGGGGAGCTTTTACTACTGACCCCTTGTCATCCCAAGTTCCAATATTCATGTTGTGTTTTATAGGTGGTGGTGGTACAGCAGGGCCCCCAATGCCCACATTACCTTTAGGCTTGAGTTTCGGCTGAGGTTTAGCAGGCTTCCTTGCAATGGCAGCCCACGAGGTTGGTTTAGGTGCTGAACTGCTAACTGGGGGCACGCTGTTGGCTGCAATACTTGTCATACCAGTACTGCTCAGAGCTGAACCTACAGTTTTTGTTACAGCAGCTGTCATATCTCCACCAATTTTCAGTCCAGTCATGCCTTGCTCAATGCTGCTAATCCCAGGCACCTTGCTCAGAGTATCACTGCCAAATCCAGCCTGTCCATCTGCTATGGCTCTCCCAAGAGAACTAGGTGGATAGCCATAGCTGCTGCTGTAAGCAGAGCTTTGCGTTGATTGTCCCTGAGATCCACTCGTCCCCCATGTAGAGAAGTCTGCATTCCCAGGAAAAAAATTAAATCCATGCTGCCCAAGAAACGGAGGGGTGTTTCCTAATGCCCCAGGTTGACTAAATACACCATCAGGTATGTAATGATGTTCACCATTACTCATCTGTCCATAAGTTGTCAAGTATGGCATTGGAGGGTCACCTGCAGTTGACCATGCTGCTTCGCCTAAAGAGTATGGAAATCCAATGGATGGAGCATAATAACTAGGCATATATGGGTCTGACATTGGTGGATAGCTGTTACTCTGCAAGAAAATAAAACAAAAATCAGCAATACAGGCTATATGCTCAGGACAAAAAATTTCTAATACCATCCAAAATACTGTTAACGATCATATGAATGAACTTGCAACTTTCCCCATTCCCTCAAAGGTAACAAAGATGAGTAAAAATACCTGTTGGAAGTAGCCATGTTTTCAGAAACCAGTTAAAAAAAAGTCATAACTGTAGTTTCATTAACAGAGAAACATAACTGCAATTAGAACTTAATTTTTTTATATTCTTGTTGCTTTTTTGTCAGATTTGTCTAATAGGAGACAACTACCAGAACATAATGGCAGGAAGAATGCAAGAACATCTTTGTTTTGTGAGGAACAACACTCAAACTAACATTCCCATTAAGAACAATCTGTGGTCTAGCAGAACAAAGCTCGCTCACTAAATCCAAATTCCACTCCCAAGACTCCTAAGAAATTACAACAGTTATGTCTTTAGATGATGAAGTTTCAACACAGTTGAAGGACAACCCACCACATAACTTCTGATGTTTTAGAAAAAAACACAGCACATTATCATCTCTCAGATAATGCCTCCTTAATATTGTGTTATTTGAGGAAATAGGAAAGTAGGAAGAGTTCTCAAAAGTCTTTTAATAATTTGTCCTTTCTTTCCCTCTCAACACCATTACAACTTACAAACTTAATGTATGTTAACTTCTGATTACAGAGACAATTCACAACTCTGAAAATAAGCCATTAACATTCCAACAGAAGCATTATACCACACTCCAATAATATTAAGCTTCAATCTATTATGCAATCAACTGTGAGATATTCCTACTAACATCAAAGGGAATTATGTCCACACAGTTAATATTTTTTCAGAGCCAATGAAACTGTTGTTTTGAACTTCATCCAAAAATATAATTCATTGCAAATTTAAGGTGTAACGCTTTATTTTGATGTTTGGGTTTTTCTTTCATTTTTTGAAGATTCTTGTAACTGGTTATTTTTGAAGTTGGAACACAAGAACAAGAGACATCAGAGCATGCTTATTAACAGAATCTTATCCAGAATTTAAGACAACTTTATTTCATGTTTTATATATAAAACACAGTAAGATACAAAACTGTATTTCAACAGCTATTCAGGCAAGTAATGCTAAGAAACATCATTCAAAAATGAACTAAGTCTGGAATTCCATTGAACTCCAAAGTTAACTTCAAGACAGTAAGTAATGTTCACTTACCTGATTTGTCTGACTACTTAGATATGGCTCAAAATCATCATCATTTACTGCATCCTTTTGATGAATCGAACCGTTCTGTACTGAAACTAAAAGTATATTTATATTAGATATACTTTCTGGAAGACTAATGATGCACTTTCAAAATGGGTAACAATCATTTGTTCATTGAAATACTTCTACTGATGCTTCATTGAGACAGAATACATTATTGTTAAGCTTTACTCTGTTCAAATCAAAGAAAATAGACCATTAAGCTCCCCAGTCAGATCTCAGAAGAGGTCTGGAAAGACTGCAACCAAAGCAGACTATTCTTGATGGTGGAGTTCCCTTCCTGGAGGAGGAATTTTCTGAACTACACAGACAGAAAAGCTACATTCACCTTATTTGCATGGGCAGTAAATCCAGCGTTTCCAGAAGTACCAGATTAAGTGCAAATGTGCAGACCAGTGAGATCACACATATTCAATAGGTTCGGTGAAATCTGTAACATATACACCTTTTTCCTGAAAATATTAAAGTCAGCAACCCACCAATACAACAGGAAAGGGCTATTTCAACTGTCTAATTTTCTAATTCCTACACATCTATTTAGACTGCTCTGAATTAGCAACATATCTCGAGTTTAGATGGGCCAGTGAAAGACAGAAGCAGAACTTAAAGTCACCAAGAGCAAGTTTACAATCCTTTCCCTGCACACATGCCATTAGACACTGGAATCTCTTCCTATCTGCTCTTCTTAGCTTTCTATTTATTACTTCTAGTTTCATTTAAGGCATTAATACCTACTTGGCATTTTCCAGTTGCTCAAATTACCTGAAGTATCTCTCAATTCCCTCCCCTCCCCTGTTGTTCAAAGTCAAATTGCAGAATTTTCTACTAAACTCCACTGTTTCCAGAGTGCAAAGCAGAACAGTAACTGAAATAAGCAAGCAGTTTATATGAAATTATAGAACTCAAAGACAAAGAAGTCTTCTCTGAGTGCATTTTTTGCTGCTGTTACCTGTCAGTAACTTTAGTGAAAACAAGTTTTAGAGTAATTGATAAAGTGCTCTAAGAATCGATGACACCAGAAGTTACAGCAAAGCAGCAGATTTTCTGACAGTTGGGAAAACTCAGATACAAGTTGACACCTGTTTTTCTCTTTTAGCAAAAGCTTCTGAAAAGTATATACAGATACGTAACTAAACCTTCAAGGTTTTTTTTGTACGTAGAAAGTGTTTATAAGCATGTTTTGTTGCTTGGTTGTGTTTCTCCCCCCACTAAAGTTAACAGTGCAAACCAGACACTTCACAATTTCTTCCACATTTGATTTCAGTAACAGGCTGTCTTCAGGGAATTAAACTAACTGGAAAAATAACAAACGAATACATATAAACATATAGAAAAAAATGCAAAAATGTATTAATTTCAGACAGCAGTAACAAGAGATGGGAAAATCATAATTTAATCAAGAATAGAAAATTTGTTCCAAAGCAACTACCTGAGAAGGAGGGAAGTAACTTTCACTTTTTTTTTTAATCATTCTGGGGTTTTAGAAGGTCACTTGACCATTGTTATACACTGACACAGTGTTTGTATACCAGCTGCAGACAATTATGACTAACAACGGCGAACACAACGTGTATTAAAACACGATATAAAAATATTTCTAAATTAAATAACAATTTAAGATAATATTAGTTTTTGTTTGTTTTTTCCATAAATAAGGTGTTTCAGCTGTGGTCACTAATCATCCTGAACTTAAATACAGTGGAAACATACAGTGGAACTCTATATTCCTTTTTACATTTGGCCCAGACACACAAGAGAATGATTCTCAAGGTCTCTTCTCCACACCATGCCATATCCATTGTTTAGTCTTAACCAAAGACTATAAACAGCAACATTTCCAAATACAATTCTGTTATAAAAAATACCAAAAAAATAAAAAGGAGGGACATGAGCTTCTTAAAAGCAAAGAGCCACACATAAAGCAATACACAAACTACACGCCAAGATTAGAATCCTGACAAAATTAATCTCTTCATACTGACAGCTGATCTTCATAAAATGAGCCATGTTTATTGTTTCAGAGGCATCTGAAGGCCTCTTAAAATAATTATTTTGGTCAGCCATAACTAACAGAATATTCTTATAAATGTATTTTCTTTCTTGTTTATTCTCTATTGAGATCTTAGGTCAGCAACACAAAATAGTTCTGTGCTGCCATCTCTACTACTAAGTGTATACACGTTTCAGTGAAACAGCATCATTACAACTGTTTCTTTAGCTTTTCACTCTAACTTTACATAAGGTGTTTATAACAAAGAATGCAGCCCACACATGTATTTAACTAGAGAAAACAGATTAAGATGCAAGCCTCATACCCAAAGTCTCATATTAAGTGTTCTAACTGAGCAGGGCAATGATGAAGTATACTACCAGAGACTAACCTACAGTTAGTAAAAGCATCTGTATCAGTCCAACCCTGAAAATACTGCATACTTCTTGTAAAAATCCAGTATAATTAGGTACCAGGAAGAAACAACTTATCAAATAAAGGAATTTAAAGCTTATGTTCCTTCAACTATTGCTATCCTCTGAATAACCACTAGCAAATTGCACAAACGATGGCCAAAGGTATTAAGAATAAATTTCTCCCTACATACAGATTAATGTGGTATGTAATAAGTACTAAATGTAACCTTCTATTCTTGTTTTAAACCTAATCTTATATTTAAACCTCCTACAAAACCAAAAATATATACACAGGTAAACACAAGTCAGGACTTCCCTTTCATAGGTGCAATATGCTGGCACAAACTAAAGCAAGGGAAAAAGGGAGCTTGGGGAATGCCAGGTCCTTATTATCCCCACTGTAAGACATCGTTTGAATGATATCAGTTTTGATGTCTTATGTCAACAGTACAGTATTTGACAAATAAGAAAACTTTCAAGACAAAATCATTTACTGGTCCGAGTCTCTGAAATACTGGAGTTAATGTCCAACAGACTGATATACTGTTCTATAATGCAGACATATAATCTCATACATTCCAGTCAAAGGAGAAAGCACATGGCACCTATTTTTAACTAACTAGAACAAAGCATCAAGAGAATTTTCCTAGACAATACAAGCAACTTCTCAATATCATCTGAAGGCTTAGTATTCTTATTTCAACATGAAAAACATTTTATTTACATACCCAATCTCATCCTTCTCAACATCACCATTCCTATGCATACGTACAGAGCTTCAGATTAATCTGCTGACTCAGTAACACATATTCCCTCAAGGTCCCTTTAAGCTGGGACCATATCATGACACCTGAAAAAGATTACTGTCTGCTAACATTTAGACAGTAAGGATTGCTGACACTGACTTAATATATCCTCTTGAACAAAGCTCTGATCTAACAACTACTTGAGCTACCATCTTCTATCACCAAGCCCTTTAATCTAACACCAAATTAGATTAGTTTTGTAAATTATTTGCTATACTTTGTATTTCAGTAGAATTGAGCTGATTACTGGTTTGTTTCACTCCAGTTTTCATTGATATCATATTCTCACCAGGAGACTTGTATGTTTTTTAACAGGATGCAATCCACTAAAATCCAAGTTCAGAAATGCAAAAACCTCCTTATTTAGACAAGTTGAAACTATGTTTTGATTTACACATTTTGCAGTATTTACAAGTTACAGCACAAAAAATACACTGACTTGTGCATTTTCATTATTAAACAAACTGCAGATAGTATCTTAAATGAGATGCTCTATACTTCACACTCAATTCATACATTGGACGTATAGTTTAAAAGCTACTTCTATGATTCTCTAGTAGTTCTAACTTCTCTAGAAACAGACATCATAATTTGAAGAACAGAAAGCCACAAATTACTCGCTAAAATGAAACTGTCTTCTCACTTAGGAGAAATACAAAGGGCAGAAACATAACTGCTTCAAAGAAAAATCATAAAAAGTTCCACAAGTACTAGAATATGAGAGAACCAGTACTCAGGGAAAAAAATGACTAAACTGAATGGGTCTAAGGAGGCAGACAGGTTTATTTTTCACTGAATGCATGTTGAAATTAGAAGGAAACAGGCTAGATTCAACAAGATTCAGGAAGCACATGCCAACATGAATGGTACATACAGAAGTAAATAAACTGCACACAGACAGAACATGAGAATAAGTAAAGTGTGGATAACATTAAATGACACTTCACAGAGAACAATTAGATTAGTTCAGATAATAAATAGCAAGATCAAAAAATACACAAGGTCCACAAAAACGTTTTTAATCCACACACAGAAATAGCAACACTGAATGCATCACACAGGTAGCTGTTTGCATACTAACCCACTGCCCAGCTTAATGAGCAGATAAGAAATTCATCGGCACAAGCGGGCTGACTACTCAAATAAAAAACCCAAATAAATTATCAGATTGGGTTCCTTTTGTTTTGTTTGTTTGTTTTTTAATATCAAAGATAAACTGTAGACCAGAAATAACTGCAGGACATAATCTGATATGCCACATAGGACAGACAGGCCAAGCATTTTAGAGTGAAGTAGTTGATCGTTTCCATGGGAGGGAATAAACCCTATTTTAAATACTTTAAATATTTTAAAGATGTTTTTTAAAAAAAAGATGAAAAAAGTAAAAAAAAAACACAAAAGGCTTGGGAAGACTACAAAAATATTCTCTACAGACAGAGCCAGGATATTTTCTGAAAATAAGGAGGGTGATGTGTTCTGTTCATAGATATGAGTAACTAAGTAGTCACATGGCTCGTGTTTCTCAAGCTAAGGAAGCTGCTCAAAAGACTCCTCCTGATGATTCTAGTACACTGATTCCATTCACTGTACAGAAAGATCCACAGTATACTGTTAAAGAGATCATGCAAACATATCAAACAACATCAGCTAAGAAAAACAGCTGTTATCTTATTACTCCTGACAATAATCTGAAAAATAAAAATTTAAATTGACATACTATTGTACCATTCTAAAAAATGCTGGGAAGTAATATTTCGTATGTAATTTCCTGTCGTCTTCATCTGAAATAAGACATCCTATAGCTGCATTCCCTTCCCATAATTGTCTCAGAACACATTAAGCTCCACAAACAAGATCAGACATTTACACAAAATTACAGTGAATTGACTTACCTTTATTTCCCTGTCCTTTAGGTCTCTGTAATAGGAAAGTGGGGAGAAAAGCAAAACAGAAAATTTCAGTTAGAATCCTCGGATGTTTTTGTCAAGATAATTCAAGTTTGCCAGTTCTTTTCAATTTAAATATCAATTCAAGCTATAATAAAAACATCCTGATGTACAAATCCAACTGAAGAGCTTTAAAACTGGAAGAATTTCACTGAAAATCATTAAAATATCCTACAGTCTTTTAAAACATGCAAAGCTTAAGTGGCAGCAGGAATCTGAACAAATGAATTTTGATTGCCCCTCCTTGAGAAACATAAGCAATAAACACAGCATAGCCTAAAAGAACAAAGAAAGTTAGCTTAAGATTACTGCCAGTGCTAGAGCTTCATTATCATACGTCATCGTTTAAACTGACTGATGGGTACTTATCAGGGAAAAACCTATAATGCCTTGCCTTTCAAATGTACAAAAGAATATATAGTAATATTGCAAGCTGAACTACAAGCTATACATTCCTTGCTCAGTCAGTTACACTGAGAAAATGATACCATGTTTACGCTTTCACGCAAGAAAATAATACCTTAAGGAGAATTTTTTTTTTTAGGATTAGTCATTACAAAACACTGTTAATCTGCCACGCACTAACAACCACTGTAAAAGAATGAGTTACAGTAACCTTAATTCCTCTATAACAAAATAAAACAAGCTTAAAAAGAAATAAGCAACTTGTAACCCATTAGAATCTAATTCATCTCCTCGTGCATGTACAACTAATCATGAGCAGATTCCCTGGCTTCACTACTCTCCAGCAGTTTTTACTCCTGCAAGACTCAGTACTGGTTTGAAAGTTTAGGCTAGGTTAGAGAAAACCACCATCTTGCTTGCACATACATCTGTCTCAGAGTTAGATCTCTGTTTAACCCATCTCCATCTAAAGCTATGCTGGTTAGTCACCTCCCCCTCCCAAAAGCAGAGGAAAACCTCCTTAAGAAACCCCAACATCTCATTTTCTGGAATACAACTCATCCAGTCACGCAGAGAGCAACAAGAGCCACGAAACTAAAAAAAAAAAAAAAAAGTTGAGAAGCAGCAGCCCCCATGGAAGGCTAGAGAGCAAGGAAAGCTAAGAGATCACTGAGCTAGAAATAAGTGCACAAAAGGAAACCGGAGAGCATACACGGAGACAAAAGGCACAAAACACTGAAGGCACAGAGAAAATAAAAGGGGGAAGGAGACCGCGAGGAGAAAACTTTGGAGGAGAGGCAGAGGCCCAAGGAGGAAACGAGGACCGAGGCAGAAAAGCGCCCGCCGAGAGAGGAAGAGCAGCAGAGGCCCGGCAAAGGCTGAGAAAACCTCGAAGCCCTGCGAGGAATCGAAGAACAGCTGGAAGAAGCGGAGGTCGCGGTGAAGGGAGGCCCGAAAGAAGAAAACGTGAGTGAGGAGAGAAAGGCAAGAAGCGAGAACGCGATAACCACACGTCGGAAAAAAACAGAGAGAGCCGAGAGAAGCGCTCCGGGAGCGGCGAGAGGAAACGGGCGCCCACGGGGCCTGCTGAGGGCTCGCTCGCGGCGCGGGCAGACGCAGAGCCGCCAGGCCGGGCTGGGCCCCGCAGTGGGGAGGCGGAGCGGAGCTGGCGCGGCCCGGCGGTTATAAATAGGGGCTGCCGGGGCCGGGCAGGGGCCGCCATCGCGGGCGCCGATCGCCCGCCGCTCCCCATGGCGGCGGGGAGGGACGGAGCGGGAGGCCGCCGGGCCGCCGCCCTCCGAGCGCCGGACGCGGGGAGGAGGGATAGCGGCGTGCGGGCGGCCGGTACCTGATCGACGCTGGTGGCTGACATTCTTCACGGGGAGCCGCGATCCCCTCGCTCCGCCTGGGCCTCGAGTGATTCCGCACGCCGGGGCCGCTCGCCCGCCCGCCCGCCGCGCCGCTCGTCTCCGCCTCCTCCTCCCCGCCGCCGCCTGATTGTCGCCGCCGCCTGGGTTCGCCGCCGCCGCCGCCGATCGGGCTGCCGCTGGAAGGAGCCGGCCGGCCGCACGCAGCGCCGCTTCCCCCCCCTGCTCCGGGCTCCGCTTCCCCACAATGGCGGACGGGCTCCGGCTCCCACTTCCGCTCCGCGGCGCCCTGACCTTCCGCTCCCCCTCCGCCGGCGACGCCGCTGACCTTTCCCTTCCCGTCCCCGCCTCCATGTCACGTGGGGGTGAAAATGGGCCCGCGCGCGCCCGCTGCCAGCGACTCAAATGGCGCGGGGGGCGGGGCGAGCGCCGCGCGGGGTGGGAGCGCGCATGCGCACCACGCGGCTCAGGCGGAAGGGCCCGGCGCCGCTGCCGCCGCGCTCCGTCGGTCTCGTAATGCGCACGCTCCGTAAGGACAGCCGAGGAATGCTCGGGGAGGGAGGCGAGGAATGTCGGCCTCCCGCGCTCCGCTAAGCGTGTGCGGTGCGCTGAAGTGGGGAGCCGGCTGGGCAGCGCGCATGCGCGCGGGGCGGTTGTGGGTTTGGCTGCTTGGGCTGCGGTGGCCGAGCGGTTGCGTCCCTGCCGTGCGCGTTCCACGTGGGGTTGTGGAGACCGTCAGTGCGAGCGGTGCTTCTGGCGGGCGGGCCCTCGGCCGCCAAAGGGGCTTCAGCTGCACCACCGCTACCTGGGAGCCCCTGTGCTTCTGAAGAGAAAATGCCTCGTGTGCTGTACCGTGTGGTGTGAGCGTAATGGTCTGGGTAAAGAGAGGGTTGCGTCATTGAAGACATTCGGTCTGAGTCCCTTTTCCTACCCAGCTGGTGGTTTTTCTTCACTAGGGAATGTGTTTTATATATATATATATAATTTTTAGCCATTACTCAAACCGATCCTGGGAAGTAACTGAGCTGGGATAGAAGAGGTGGTAATATCTTATTCTTGTCAAAAAGTGAGCATTGTAGTGGAAGTTACACAAAACTGGAGTCCAGAGGGAAACAGTAAGGATGATGAAAGATCCAGGTAATAGATACTGAAATAAAACATAGCAAGAAATGGCTGGACTATAAAAGAGGAGAATGAGGGTTGATGTGAAGACGGTCATTGAGTATTTTTACGTAAGAAAAAAAAATCGTCTACATTGTTTGAAATATCACAAAATACGATGGATTTAAACTGCAGTTTTGAGGTTGATCTCTTACGACACCTTAAAACACTGTCAAAGCAAATAAGACTGTGCTGCTGTCTCTGTAGCACCACAGTTAGTAAGCAGGTGGGACCCTCGCGTTCAGTCTTTACGACCATCTTCATCCCTTTTTTTCCTGCTCCATTGGTTGCTGTGGCATGAATGGTTAACGTACAGAAAATAAAGATTCAATGCAGGAGAAGTAGAAGTAAGCATAGAGAATGGGCACTTAGATGGAAATAATAACAGTTCTTGGGATTTTATGCTGATGCTTAGGAAGTGTATTCTTCTAACCTTCTGTCTTTGGAATCATAAAATGACATTAAAATGCCCATTTAAAAAATGATTTTAGACCTCCCAATAGACAAAGTTTTGCAAGTAAATAGCCAAGAATTTAGAAACAGGTATCAGGGAAAGGAGAATTCAGATTTATTATTTTTAAACATCTCATTGTTTTTGGCCTTGTGTCATTAATTTTTTGAAGCTGACAGATCTTGAATATTCAGAGTTTTAAACATTGTTCCCCTCAGACATCTAATGTGTTGCCTTTGAGAAAGTACTGGCCCCTTGTGACTCAATACCATCTATTCAGCTGAATTTGCAATGTAATCATGGAATAAATAAAACCAGCAGTAATTTAGAATTCAATTTGCGACGGTCGCTGCGATTTGTGTGACAAAAATCCAACATGCTGCAAACATTTTCATTATTTAATAAGATATTAATATCTGTACTGGGAAGTGATTCTGCCTTGTTCCTCCTTGTCTGTACTGTCAGGAATGTGGTGGAGTGAAAATTGTCCTTAAAGAGAGTACGAGTTCAGCCGGATTCCATTCTGCACTGCAAGCTTTGCAGAGTCTCAGGCTCAAACGAATCTTTTTGATGGGGAATAATGCACCACACTGAGGACTTGCTGGAATGCTCTGTGGCAATTAGTTCTGTAATACTATAGTTTAAGTTCCTGCATTATGTGTCTCTAGAGACTTTGGAGGTATATATGGTTCATTTTTCAAAATGCTTTTAGGCCTTTTTTTTTTTTTTTTTTCAATCTCTAATTCTCTATTTTCTAATAATTATCTGTGGGAAAATTGCTTGTGATCTGAACAGTAATAGTTTGATTCCACAACCCTTTGCCATCAGATTACTGTATAGGAGATTTGCACGGGTACAATTGCATGGGTAATGATTTGCAGAGTTGCTGCAGATGGAGCTATGTCTAAACCACTGCACTTGCAATTCCTTCACTGGACTTGATCTGATGGGGAATGCCAACCAACAGCAGCATTCACTTCAGGACAGGACTCCAATTCCTCATGGTTATTTGAGGCACATACTGAATGGATGTGTTTTTATGGCTGTGAAAAGGTCTTAGGACCTTTCTAGACTACCATGGAGCTCAGGAAAAGGACAGTGCCCTTTATTTAAGTGTGGAATTACTAGGTTGTTATCAATGTCTTCCCTGTTACATTCAACAAAACTTTATGGATTTTTCCATTCTGCTTTCAAAGTAGTGATTGTGGCAACTTAATAGCAAACTTGGGTAAAAGGATGACAAAGTTTACCCTTTTGAGAAACATTTTACTCTTCAGTTTTACTGGACAAGAACAGAAAAAGAACATACGTATTTTAAATGTTAGGAAAAGCAATATGGCAATACCTCCTTCAAAAATGGTTAAGACACAAGTTCTTAAGTTCTTAGAAAATGTTCTAAGGATTCCTTTCTTAACACGTAAAGACCAAGTCCAAATAACCATTATTTCCTCAAACATCTCAGAGACTCTCACTGGACTGTAAAACAGGTGCAGTATAAAGTCTTAGCTACAGACAGAAAGTGACCCTGCGAGTCTTACAAACTAATAATAGCTAACAAACAAACTGTAAATAACTTGATGCCCGTGTTTTTCGGTATAGTCAACTAGCTCTAAAAGATTGCAAAACTGTTACAGAAGTAGAAAATGTATGCTACCAACGGTTTTCTGTTCCTCCTGCCTAAAATTGTATTAAAAAATAATCTGTGAATTATAATCTAGTATTGGTGAAACACTAACTAAGGAATAGGTTGAAGTAGGTGAACTCCAGTTATTCCCACCAACAGTTACTGTAATTTAGTTTGATTGAGAGGGTCTGTGGATGGTTCATGAAACAAAGTCAAAGATCTGGTGGGTCACTGCTGAGGAACATGCCTTTGGAGGGTCTCAGTTATCAGTATACCTCCAGATGCACCTTGGTGTTGCACCTCTACTCCCTGCTCTCTGGTCCTGAGGCTGGGCTGTTCAAGTTCAGCTGTCATGAAGGACCATCACACCGTCAAAGCCCTTAGCACTGATAAAAGTGAGTGGAAAGCAATGCTCAACTGCAAATAACTAAACAGTTCCTCTGCATGTGTGAGATTTGATAGTTCCGAGCTATTAAAAATAGGAGTATATTTATTGTGTATCATTTAGGCAGTGGTAATTAAACAACTGCATACTCTGCATCCTGTGTGAAATACAATCCTATGCTGAAGGCCAGGGCAGGTTCCAGATTCCAGCAAGCATTCTTTTACAGGGTTTGAATAGCTTGGGTGCTATGTTATCATCTGTGGGGTGGTGAATTTCAACATATGGAGCAGGCATTCTGGAAAATACTCTCACCATAAAAGTGTAATAATGTTGTACAATATGTTACTGTTGTCAGTGCATTTCCTTTTCTTGGGAATGAGGAAATACAGGTTTGTTCAAAGGAAAAGACTGAATAAAAGGACTGCAAATACTCATAGTACTTATCAAATGGATGGAAAATGAAATAGATTATGGTAGCTATTAGGTAACATTGTGGCAGTTACACAACTAAATTTGTGTATGCAATTTTAAATTCCAATGCAGTTTTTTATTCCAGTGTTGGAACAAGAATTTTACCTCCGAGCTTTAATTTTATTCTCTTTGTTATCCAGTTCATCAGTCTTGATAGGCCCCATTAACTCAAAGCATGAGGTAAGACAGGAGCTTTCCACACTGACAAGCTTTTTTTCCAGGTATATACTAATATAAAACACTGATACATTTGTTAGCAATGTGTGCTAGCTGTTTGACTTAAGTGATTGTGTAAATCCCATATCATAGTAGGCTGGGTCAATGACAGTAACTAATTGATGACAGGTCTTCTCTTATTAGTTTTTAAGAATCACAGTCTTCTTTTTTAATGATTTAAAAAATATATACAAACCACCTTTGTTTGTTAAATTCCCTGAGATTCTCTCTGTCCATTAGTTTTAAATCTAAATCTGCTTGCATTTATTCTGAAATGAATGTCTCCTCCTGCTCTTTTCTCCTAATCACACAGAGCAATCATTCTTTTGGTGCATAATGTTGCTCATCGTAACTGCATGTTTGAAATTTGGCTATGCCAGCAGCATGACTGTACTTGAAAGGGAAGGGTAACAACAATACTGAAGTAGAAAAGACAACCACAGTATATATAGCAGCAGTTCTTAGGGTTCTCATCACTTTGCTCTGAAGATCATTCCTCTACCATCATTCCTCTACTCCTCCCTGGCAGTGTTCAGAAGGTGTCTGGATGAGGAGCGAGATATGGTTTAATAGCTTGTGGTAATGTGAAGACGGTTGGACTAGATGATCTTAGAGGTCATTTCCAACCTTGTGACCTGGACAAGCTGGAGAGCTGGGCAGTAAGAAACCAGATGAGGTTTAATAAAAGCAAGTGTAGAGTCTTGCACCTAGGGAGGAATAATTGCATGCACCGGTACAGGTTGGGGGATGACCTGCTGGAGAGGAGCTCTGCAGAGAGGGACCTGGGTGTCCTGCTGGACGACAGGTTGGCCATGAGC